GGATCTGCAGCTCGAAGACGCCTGCCGGCCGTGCCTGGGGCCGGAAAGGGGCGCAGGGTGAGGAGGCGTCGGGGCCCAGGCGTCCCGTCCGCCGCGCGGCCCCTCCCCAAGACCCCGGGGTCGCCCCCTTCCCATTCCTCCCTTTGCACTCCTGCTCTGACCTGGGGAAGGAAAATAAGCGCCAGGATCACCGTCCGGGGCAGGAGCTGGGGCATCTGCAGGCTGACCATGGCCTTTTGGGGGGGGCGGTGCTGGGAGCCGCAGCTGCTAGCTCCCGAGCCTTATATCGGAGGGGACGGCTCCGCCCCTTCAGGCAGCCGCCCGGCTCCGGGAGACCCCAGGGGAGGAGGTCGCAGGGAGAGGGGAGCTTGCTGGAGCAACCGTGAATTGTGGTATGGGCACCGGCAATATAGTGAGCCTGCGATCTTGTGTGTGGTTTGGGCACGACTTTGTGTGTGAGGATGGAGTGGGGCTAGGGGGTTAAGCCAGTGTGTGAGGTTATGTATGATTTTAAGATTCTGTGCATGCGTGTGGTGTGAGCAAGAGCTACTGGCTGGAGGCTGTACGTGACTTTGTGATTGTGTGCCTAGCTGAGACTACGTGGCTCCACGTGTGCCTAAAGTTGTATATGGTTAAGACTATTGCGAGGTTGTAAGATTCTGTGGTTGTGTGTGTGTGCGTGTACGCGTGTGCACCTGCATGGGAGAATATAGGCGTACGTGACTTCATGATTGTGTGACTTTGGGGGATTGTGCGGCTGTTGTGGATGCTTCTCTGTGCGTGTATAGGAGTAAATGTGAGATCCTGAACCACTGTGTGGAGTCACATGAACCTCTTTGTGGACTGTGCAGGTACCTCTAGGTGGCTGTGTCTGTGTGTGTGTGCGCGGTAGGGTCTATGTCAGCTGTGAATAACCGAGCGTCCGAGTGTGAAAGAGATTAGGTGTTGGGAAGTCCATAGGTGTAGCCATGTGTGGGTACGATGAAGATCCGGGGTTCTTTGTGGACCTGTGTGTGTACATGCGCGGTGTGTGTGCTCCCCTCCGGAAGACAAAGCCACCCTTCCAAACCCCGCATCACGGATGCACCAGACGCCGGGGTGAGGGGCCCCCCGCCTGCGAGGGGTCTCCAGCTGTATGTAAATGCCGCCATCTGCCGGACGGCCGCGCCCCTCCCCCTTTGGGCCGCAGCTGGGCCGCCCGTTTGGCCTCCGGAAGGTGTGAGGAGCAAATGGGCAGGAAATTCCGTCTTCACAGATCAAGGGGCCCCCGCTCGCTCACAATGGGGGGAGGGGGCACCCCCGGGCCCTCCAGAAGCCCCTAAGTATTCCCGGACTACGGCAAGGAAAGCCCGGTGGTGGGAGCAGATGCTCCAGCCTCTGGTCATAAACGCTCTGTGCCAGGTGCTGAGTAAAGTCCTTAGGTGACGCCAGCTCCTTCCCCGCACCCCCCCTCCCCCGCCCCGCAAGGTTTTCTTGAATTTGAATACTTACAGGCTAATAATTACAGGGGAAAATACAGGTTCGATTTACAAACTTATTTTTCTTTTAGAGAAGATAGGATGATCAGTATAGCCCAGCAGAACCGGGCATACACAAGTGCTCATCAATTCTTAATGAAGGAGAGTTCAGTTAAAGAGTTTCCTCTTAGGGGTGCCCGGCTGGCTCGGGTGGTGGAGCGTGTGACTCTTGATCGCGGGGTTGTGAGTTCAAGCCCCACATTGGGTGTAGAGAGTACTTAAAAATCCAATCTTTTTTTTTTCTTTTAATATTCATTAATTAGGGAGAGCACACGAGTGCAGGGAGGGGCAGAGGAAGAGAGAGGGAGAGGGAGAGCAGACTCCCCAATGAGCTCAGTGCTGGATGCTGAGCTCCATCCCACAACCCTGGGATCATGACCTGAGCCTTCTGAAATCAAGAGTCTGTCCCTTAACCAACTGAGTCACCCAGGCCCACCAAAATAAAGTATTTAAAAAAAAAAAAAAGTTTCCTCTTAATCTTGAGGACTGGAGTCATGAAAGTCTTTTGAGCAGGGGAGGGCCATGGTCACTGTGCAGACACCCCAGGCTCCTACGCACAGGTCTTTCCTCTGTTCATGTCCTCTCTGCTCCCTCCTCTATTGAATTCCTTTCTCAGCAGATTCCTCCTCCTGCAGGCACTTCCCTAACATTCACCAAGGTGGCCACGCACCTAGGAGTCCCACAGCCCCGATTCCTCTCTCCCAGCCGTGACCACTCTGGTCTATGGGGACTAAGTACAAATCTGACCATGTCCCTCTCCTGCAGACTCCTGCATGGCTCCCCAGTGCCTTCAAAATACACTCTGAGGGGTGCCTCAGTGGCTCAGTCTCTTAAGCGTCCGACTCTTGATTTCAACTCAGGTCTTGATCTCAGGTTGAGTTCAAGCCCTGAATTGGGCTCCACACTGGGCATGGAGCCTACTTTAAAAAAGAAAAAGAAAAAAAGAAAGAAAAATACACTCCAGGGCGCCTGGGTGGCTCAGTTGGTTAAGCGACTGCCTTCGGCTCAGGTCGTGATCCCAGGGTCCTGGGATCGAGCCCCGCGTCAGCCTCCCTGCTCCTCAGGGAGCCTGCTTCTCCTGGAGCCTGGTTCTCCCTCTCCCTCTGCCTGCCACTCCACCTGCTTGTGCTGTCAAATAAATAAATAAAATCTTAAAAAAAAAAGAAAAAAAGAAAAATACACTCCCAAGACTCTAAGGTTGACGTTTGAGGGCCCCCCCCCCAACATCCCCTTACTCAAACTGGCTCTGTTGCCCGAAGCGGAGAGCCAAACCTCGTGGACCAACTACTGGGAGTCAAGTTAGGCCCTGTACTGGGGGTAGGTGGAGGAATGAGCTCATCACGGGAGACATTCAAATGGAATTTGGACAGTCTTTAGAACCAGCTGTGGGAGATGGCCAAGTCCTGCCCTGGATGATAACTTGGGAAGGTAACAGATTCCAGGTCTATCTCTAACATTTTAAAAAGATTATAAATATAGCCAGGCTTTATTGAAAGTTTGTGTCAGAAATGATAATGTTTCAGGTGAATTCTGTCACGTCTGTGTGTGAGGTATACTTTTAAGAGATTTTCATGGAGTCTCTCTGGCTATTCAGGACTTTTCTTAACCAGCTGATCTTAGTGCCCACAGGCCATGCTGCGGTGACATCTGAGCAAAGATCTAAGGTGGGCGTAAGAAGAGGAAGTGATATGCATCCTGGTAAAATATTCCTGACAGAGGGAACAGCAAAGTGCAAAGGCCCTGAGGTGACCGTGCCTGACACAGAGATCCCCATGGCTTTCCCCATTTCCTTGTGATCTGTCAGATACACCCTCCCAAGAGACCTTCCTTGACTGCTTCATCCAATCTAAATCACTACCTCAAATCCCCAAACCACTCTACTTACCATACCTTATTTTTCTTTATGCATTTATTACCTCGAGAAATATCCGACCATTGTTTCCTCCATGAAGGGAGAGCTTTTTATCTAATTTGCTCACTGATGCACCCTCGTGCCTAGAACGAGGTTGGGCAATCAGCACTTAGGAATATTGGTGAGTCAGTCAATGAACGAGGGAGGTACTATAATGAATCTCTTATGAATGAGTAGACCAAGACCCTTGAGGCCTAGCCCGGGTTATAGATAATACACCTTGGGGCTGGGCAGGTATGCAAATTTTAACACTTCTCTGTGAGTCTTTAAAAAAAACATAGAGGGGCACCTGGGTGGCTCAGTAGTTAAGCATCTGCCTTCGGCTCAGGTCATGATCCCAGGCTCCTGGGATCAAGTCCCGCATCGGGCTCCCTGCTCAGCGGGGAGACTGCTTCTCCCTCTCCCACTCCCCCGCTTGTGTTCCCTCTCTTGCTCCTCTGTCAAATAAAAAAACAAAAACAAAACAAAACAAAAAAAACTTAGAGAGTCCAGAGATTCGATCTGGCCCACGCAGTTACATTTTAATTATTGTAACAAACACCAGAGGATGTCTTTTAAAAATATTTAACTGGTACTAGCACTAAGTACTGGCTGGAGGAGAGGCTGGGCCAGCCGGGGGTGGGGGCCGTCAAAGTGGTCCAGAATATTTCAGTCTGTGAAGAGCCAGTATGGGAACCGGGTGAGAAAGCCCACGGGAATTCACACACCGCCGAGTGCGGGCTGTCCTGTTACAACTGCTGGAAGACAGGTCCTACCATCACCCCCTCTGTGAGCTGAGGTAGCAGAGGCACACGGACACATGGCCCAAGGTCCACAGCTCCCATCTGAGCGCCTCACTCAGGCCTCCAGCCTAGCCTACCAGCTAGGTACTGTTACCTTTACAGATGGGGAAACTGAGGCACGAAAGGCAAAGTAACCTGCCCGAGACCACACAAGGCGGGAAGTGGCAAAGCTGGGATTTGAACGTGGCCACTCGGGAACCCAGACTGTGGAAGGGCACGCGACTGTGCTGTCCCCTGCAGGGGCCACGAGCCACAGGTGGCTGCTTAAATGAAGGTTACTTAAAATGATACGAGCATAAGCTCCAGTCCTCAGTTACCCTGACACTGCAGGTACTCCATGGCTCCGTCCGACCATGACAGTGCAGACACGGGACACGGAATAAACATTACAGAAAGTTCCAGCGCACAGTGCCACCACACCGTCTGTCTGTCCCAGTTAAGAGCCAACATTTCACAAGAGACTTAATATGAAAACCCCAACTTCGGGCTTCTATTGGAAAAGCAGATCAAGCAACGCCAGGTGCACCTTCCCACAGGGCCACAGCCGACAGAGGGGGTGGCAGCCACCCTCTCAGGCCGGGAGGAGCTCTGCTCCGCCAGAGCCCCCCTCCCCCTGCACCCCCCTTCTTCCCTGAGCCCACACTTGGGGCGTGCACACAGCGGCCGGGCAGGGACCTGCCTCTCCAACCCCCCCTGCCGCCCTCCCTTCCCTTTCCCACAGATGAGGAATCTGGGGCCACGGAGTGAGATGCACTTTTTGAGGTCACATGGCACATGGGAAGATGCGGCCAGAGGGACCCGGGTTTGCGGATTCCCAGGCCAGGGTTCAAAACTAATCCTGATCCACCAAAGGACCTACTCCGTGCTGGGCAGCCCATCGGCCACCGTGGGATGATGACCCAAGAGTCCCGGACCTCACCCTGATGCCCCCAGCTGGAGACTCTCCGGACACAGGAGTGTGGCATCTGGGATGGACTTTATTGGATGTGGCTGCCCAAGCCATGGTCTGGGAGCACTGGGGCCTGGGGCCCAGGACCCAGGCAGTGAGTCTGAGGAGGCTCAGAAGTCAGGGCTGTTTGGAGCGAGGCCATAAGCGGTTGGTGAGAGAGCCGAAGAAGAGGTTCTGCTTGCTGGATTTGGAGAGCTCAGCCAGGCGCTGCTGTTCTTCCTGGGGTGAGGGACAGAGGAGGATCAGCCCAGGGTGGGTATTCTCCTCCTAGGTTCCCTCATCCAAGGGGCCAACTTCCTTAAACCTGGGCCCAGCCTAGACCCCTTCCCCAAGCCCCCAGAACACCAGCCCAGACACAGGAGCCCAGACTCAAATCCCGGTACTGTCCTGATCCCCTTCCCCAGATCCCAGGAGGCCCCTCCCCTGAACCCTGGGAACCCACCCTGTTTACCCTAAACTGGATGCTGGTGAGAGCCCAGGCCCTTCATCAGACTGCACTGTTCTGCTCCCTGGGCCCCCGTGCCCAGCCCTCAGCCGCATGACCCTTGTCTGGATGCTGGGGGATCCCAGGCCCAAATCTCCAGGACTCCTCCTTTGGGCACTCAGGAGCTCCAGCCCTGCTCCCAGGCACCCACGCCAGAATCTGATCAACCTCAGTCTAGACCCCTGAGGATCTCTTTCCCAGACTCAATCCATGTTCTCAGTCCCACTTCCAAATTACCAGGATCACACTGAGACCACCAGAACTCCTTGCCCAGTCCCTTGGGCCAAGAGTCCAGGGATCCCTCTCCCCAGACCTGACCCAAACCTCCTGTCCACACAAAACCGGGGCCTCCAGACCCGCTGGAAACCATCATGGACTACCCCTCTCCAAGACCCATGCTTGGCATTTCCTGCCTCCTATTCTCAGAGCAGGCTGCGGAATTGACCACCCCCTCCCCCATTGTAAGAGCCCTACAGGACAGGTTGTGTGGAAGACAGGGGCCTCGCAGCCAAAGCAGAGACAGGCTAGACAGGCTGCTCGAGGGCCCCTCTCTTGGGAGCCTCGGGAACTGATGCGACACCACCCATCCCCCTGCAGATCCGGGGACCCACCTGCTCTAGCCGGCTCTGCCGCTGTTTGAAAGCCTCCAGGGGGTCATCCTCCAGGGCGTAATGCTCCAGCACAGTCCTGACATCCTCCACGCGGTTCAGCGCAATGGCTATGGGCACAGCAGGCAGGGGTCGGCCAGGCAGAAAGGCCCCAGGGAAGCAGGGCCCGCAAGCGTAACGTCAGACCCTGGGGCTGGTCAGAGCTACCTGGAACATTTCTTAATGCTCTAAAAGGGATCCCCTGGACATCCCCCAAGTATTCCCTAAATATTCCAGGGCACCCCAAACCCCCAAACATTCTCGGAAACTTCTAAAGACGGCAAGATGCTCGTGAACCTCCCACACCTCAAGTACCCAATTTTACACGGGTATCTTGAGAGTCAAGGGCTCCAAGGTCAGAGGCCAGGAGGTCAGGGGTCAGCCTCACTCTTAAGGAAGGCAGACAGGTCCAACAAGACCCGGTCATCGGAGTTGCCGTCCCAGGGCCGCAGGGCGACGCCATTGTAGGGCTGCAGGCGGAAAGCTTCCTTCTTGCAGTCCACGACGACTACACGGGCCGGGTCCCGATTCAGACACGAAATGTCCTGGGAGTACAAACAAGGCCCAGAGTCTCATAAAAGCTACCACAATCACACAGTCCCAGAGACACTCGGCTCCAGACACAGAGACAGCAGATGGCTTCCAAACTTCATATCCCTCCGTTACCCCCAACTGTCTCCTTTGGAGAGACTACCCCCCACCATCCCCCTGCCCCTTCCCCAGATACCGGGGAAGGAAGAAGAACCTAGAAGCCCAGCCTGTGCCGGAGGCAGGATCAGACCTAGGGCAGAAGCAGGGTTGAAGCTGGGGTCAGAGCTGGGGCCTCATTCCCTCAGGAAGTGCCAGCCCCCCCAAGTCCCAGAGGACCACCCATGGGCCCCCACATGGCACCTTAACATGGTGGCCATCCATGTATCTTGTGGCATCCCGGAAGAGACGGTAGGAGATGAAGCCATGGGGGTCCACGCTGTCGATGAGTGGGAATGCAGTCTTGGGGGTGGGATGGGAGGGAGGACAGGGTCAGGCTGAGCTCTGACCCTCCCGCTCTCTGGCCACACTGACCATCCCTCCACTGTCCCGGGGCCTTACCATGCCAGTCTCGGATGTAAAGATGACGATTTCATACAAAGGGGCAAGCTGCTGGAATAAGGTTTCGATGCCTGGACGCTTCTTAAACCTCCAGCCAGTGGCCAGCTAGGGAGGTAGGGAGGACAGTGAAACACCAGGACCCAGAAACCCCCACCAGAACAAAGCCCCAGCCTGGGGAGGGGTCCCCAGAACGAGAGTGCTCTCCCCCATCTTTCTAGATCTGGGGTGGGGCTCAGAGGTCACGGCCGTGACCAAGGGTCTTGGGAGTCTGGAGGGTCTGGGTCCCAGACTAACAGCGGACTCCTCGGTAGCACGGACCGCGCGCCCAGGCACGCTCACAAGCAGCTACGGGGTGGGCAGCCTCACAGGTGAGAAAAGCAACAAGAGCGACGCCTCCTCCCCAGCATCACACAGCGGAGCTGGCTCCAGCATCTCTGCTTTTAACCCGATCATCGCGAGCCGGCCACCGTGTCTATCTAGTGTCCTCAACCCGCTGCCTTCCCCAGGACACACCGACCACTCAGGGTGCAAGAGGACGCCCGTGAGCTCCAAGACCAGTGTGTAGGGCGGCTGGTAGTACGGCTCCCGCAGAGGGTCTGGGAGGAGGCAGGGACTGGTGGGCTCGATGATCATCTGTGGGAGAGAGACGGAGTGGGGAGCACTCAGCTGAGGAGGCGGGGGCCCAGGCTGGAGGGATGGGGACTGGGCTCAGAGCTGCTGCTCACCTGTCTATAGTCTTTGAAATATTTGTACGTCCGGCGCAACTGCTGTACCAGAATCGGATCTAGGAGGATAGCAGGGCACAAAGGGGTTCCAAGATGAGCCACTGCACAACCTCCCGGACGAACCAGGGGTTTATTTACCTACCCAACACAAACAAGTCTGCATACCCACCTGGTTTGAATGAGCTCATTTCCAAGTCCAAAGGTAGAAGGCAAGGACATAACCGCCAGGCAGGAGTAAATACACTTACTCATCTGCCCAGTTTTAATGTGAATACTTACACCCACACTCCCCCCCCAGATATAAAACAGAACGTTGATGCGTCTGCCCACTCAGAACCCACACACACAGAACTCTGCTGACATGATGCCAGTATGTTCAGTCCGTTTTGAACCACCAGGCCTCCAGATCTGTCTGCTTTAAGCTAACACGCCGAGTCTATTTAAACCACACTAACCATATACATACACTTATATACTTTAGAAACTAGTGGTTCTCAACTAGCAGCAATCTGGTCCACCATCTTCCGGGGAACTTAGGCAATGTCTGAAGACACGTGTGATTGTCCAGATACTGGCGTCTAGGGGACCAAGGCCCAAGATGCTGCTCAACACCCTCCAAGGCACAGGGCGCGCCCCCACAACAATGCACTACCTGCCCCAAAGTACCAAGGGGGCCAAGGCTGAAAAATCCTGGTTTAAATGGATATACTGAAGCCAGCCGAAAGCAGGAAGTTTACCTGACTGCCTACTTCATTACAGTACTTTTAGTCTAGTTAAGCCACTATCTATGTATGGGCCTGCCTTTCCACAACCAAAATACTGACCCGAGTTATGCTCGCACTTTTTAAACCTGCGTGTTTACCTGCCCCATTTACATCAGTATGTCGATTTATCTGAACCAGAAAGATTACCCAGTTAAAAGATCATACTTACCCACCTGCCCAGCTTAAGTAACCAATGTATTAACATGTGGGTTTGCAAACTTCCCCAGCACGAACAGGCGGCTTTCTGGACCTACAAATTTTATTTTTCTCCTGGGAAGGGCCAGGTGTGACAGGACTGACAACTACTCTCTACCATCCAATTTGTCAGAAACTCTCCACCAAAAGCTGGTTAACTAAAAGGAGGAGGGAGGAAAGAGACATTGTTTTGGAAATGAGGAGCCTGATGGGGTGGGGCGGCTAGGGGGAAACAAGAGGCTGTTATAAAGAAGAGGGGATTAAGGGATGCAGCCGCTCAGATCTAAGGCACAGGAAGCCATGTGTCCGGTGACAGACAGCCCCCTCTCTCCAAGCACGCCTACTGTGGACTCCCCTCCCCCATCTGTCCCTGACCATCTGCTCCTGGGCCAGTGAAGAGGACTGAAGAGGACTGGGGCTTTGTAATGCCCTTCCCCGCAAAGCCACCCAGCTGCTGACTCCCCTACCCACCAATGGAAGGAGGAGGGGTGGGGGGGGCACCAGATGGGAAAGGCAACATCCCTATAAACAGCAGAACAGGGAGTTTCGGGGACCTCAGAATCTGTGCTTGTTTTCACTCACCATTGTCGAATTCATCGGGAATCTGGAAGGTGGAGACAAAAATATGTGGTTTGGGATGGCAGACGCAGAACCCCATCAAACCCAAAAAAGGAATCTCCAGGGCCCAGGGAGGAGTAGGCAAAGGTCCCTGAAAGGGACAGGCTCACCCCGAGACCAGAAATGAGCCTGAGCAGACCAAAGGGGAAAGGACCCACAGGATAGGACCCCTGGCATAGCCTCTGGGTCTCTCTCCCCCTCACCTTGGCACCAGTTTCATCCACAGAGTTGTTTCCTGTAAGGGAGACAGGGCGGAATGAGAGAAATTGGGACCTGGTCTCCTGGGTCTTGAGGAAGGAAGAGGGCAGGGGGCCTGGATTCCTGGGTCTGAGTGAAGAAGGAAAAGGCATGGTCTCCGAAGATCAAGAGAGGAGGGGGCTGGTAGTCAGGATCCTGCGTTTCCGAGAGAAGAGGGACTGGGGCTGGGTCTCCTCAGTCTCTGAAGGAGGAAGGGACTAGGGGGAGGGCTGGAGTTTGGGGTGCTGCAGGAAGAGGCAGCTTAGGAGGCAGGTCCAGGCCTCTCCTTCCCCAACTTTCCCTCTTCTAAATGACTCTCTGGATCCTAGTGCAGAACCAACTAAGAGTGGAACCTTGAGCAAAGTAGGTAGAGGGAAAAAAAGGTCTTCCATTTCCAAGGCAGATGTTCTAGTTGGCTGCCTTAATGAGGGAGGAGCCAGGCAATGAAGATGGGCCAAACCCTTAGAGGGAAAAGGGGGTAGGCTATGCAGAAGAGAGAGCCAAGGGAACAAAACTGGGAAACAGACATATGTGTCTCACCAAAGATATAGACGACGCTCACAGTCCCACCGGCCCCCAGCAGCCCAGCAAGCCAGAGTGCGACTTTTTTGGCGTAGCTGGGACCCTCTGTGCCCTGCTGATGCTGTGGCCCCTGAGCCTGGGCCTTGGTGCCCGTGCGACTCCCAATTTCCGTGGCCTGCAATTGACAGGAGGTGGGTTAGCCCAAAGGGAAGTGCGAAAAGGCAGGATTATTCTGGTACCCTGGTAGAAGAATCAAGGTCGCAAGCCAGGAAGCAGACACCCACAAAGCCTTAGGGTGTTGAATCTCTGGAAGAGCAACCAGGAGATTGGGTCTCTTAGAATAGTCAAGAACTAGACTGTCCGGGACCAGGATCCCAGGGGTTCAAGAGTTGATAGGCCAGGTGCCCAGGATCCTGTAGGGCAGGGAAATGAAATCAGGAAGCCTGGCCGGACACTGGGATGCCGGGAGCAAGGCAATGCAGAGCACAAAAGGGGACTGGATGGGTAGTTAAGGCAGCCGGATGCCCGGGGCTCACAGTAGTGGGGTCTAGAGGGGAAGGGATGGGAGCGGGGACAGAGCAGCAATCGCTTGCCTGGGGAAGTAAGGGCACGAAGTGAGGTCAGAATGGCTGGATCTCTGTCAATGTGGAGGCAGGCTGATTTCAAAAGCCCAGACATCTACCTCAGCATCACCGCGGGGAAAGTACCCCCAAGGCCAGACACTGGGACCCCCAGCATCCCGGGCTCTCCTCCTCAAGTATTACCTGAGAGGTCACTGAGACGGGAAACAGGTGACCTCCCTTCCCCCGGCACCCACGTGGGGTCCACAGGAAGTGGCGTTCAAAGGACGCACTTCAGCCCGCAGAATCTAGCTCGGGGGCGCAAGCGTTGCCCACCCCGGGAGGCAGGGAGGCGCCCCGAAACGCGGGCGGCGTTCCATTCAGCAACCTGAGGTGCTGCGTCCCAGAACCCTCGTGCGCGGCGGTCCGCCCGGAACTCCAGAAGGGGACTCCCGCACTCGGGGGACCACCCGCATCCGCCTCACCTGGTCCGGGGTCCGGGGGGGCGGCGTCGCCAGCCTCGCGCACAGCCCCCGCGCGCCGAGCCGGAGCGCGCTCCGCAAGCGGAGGAACAGCGCCGCCGAGGCCGCCATCTTGCGCTGACGCCACGCGGCCCCGCCCACTCGCTCCCTCCTCTCCGGGCCCGGGCCCTGACCAATGGGGGCGCAGGGGTGGGGCGGGCGGACGGGAGCCCGAGAGAGACAAAGGGCTGCGGGCGGAGAGCGGCAGGCGTGCTAGCCTCTGCAGACCTGGCTACGGTCCGCCGGCTGCACACCTCTCTCGGGCCTCGGGGCGCTCCCCGGCCCCTGCAGCCCCACGGGGCAGCACACCCAGCGCCCGGGGGTAAGGCTGAGGCCGCCGCGTGGGAACCCTGTGGCTGCGGATGGGTGTCCTGAGAGAGGAAACCCGCGAGCTAGTTCGTCTCGCCCAGAGGAGGTCCGTCCAGCAAGCGAACTGGAAGCCAGCCCTCCCCAACGTGGAGCCTGGAGGCCCGAATCAGCCTTCTCTCCCGTCCTCAGAGCCCTTTCTTGCTCCTCCTCCCCTGAGCTTCTGAGGAAGAAGGATCTGGAAAGCCAGCCCTTTCAGCGAGGTCTCAGCGAAAGGAGCCAAGGCCGGCTCTCCAAGGTCAAGCGTATCAAGACGGAAGTCGATAAATAAGGGGCTACAGGTAGCCACGAAGAATTTCCCTCCTTACTTAGGAAAGGAAGTCAGATACTGCTTATGTATACTCTCAAAACATGAAAAACGACCATGAAATATTTAGGGATAAATAAGGTCAATCTTCTTCTGGTCATCTCTGGAGGGGAATGGACTGGGGATGCTGCTTAAAGTGGGTCCCACCAGCTACGTACGGTTTCCTAAGCTGGGTGGTGGGGACATGGGTGTTCTGGGTGTCGTATCTTTTTTGAACACGTGAAATATATTTTATATTGCATTTATTTAAAAAAAGACATTTGATTGTCAGATAAGGAAGGTGAAGGAAGGTCAAGGTACTAATAAGCTCCATTCTCTATCTTGCTCCCCATCTCCACCCCCAAGCCATCAGACAAGCCACAGCAATTCTGGTGTCACTGCTATGTGGGCTCCAGGGAGAGGACCATCAACTGCGGTATCCTGCACTGTAGGGGGAATTTAGGTTTTCCTGGGGGGGGGGGTTATGGATCTTCTCATAAGCGAGAATGGGCTATAACTTCAATCACAGGCAGGCTCTGGTCTAATAATCTCTTTCCAATGTCTCCTCATACATCCATCTTGAAGAGCCCTCTGGCGTGGGCAGTATCATTTTCTAGATGGGGAAACTGAGGCTTAGGTACCATTCAGTTATTTGCCCAGGAAGTAAGTGGGGTCTACAAATGACCCCACTTACAAAACACAGACACACAGGCTTGACCAAACAGCTTTTTATTGAAAGACCATAACACAAAAGCAAGCTGGGGAAGGGAGGGTACAGAAGGTGGGGACCCTCCCCCAGACTCTATTCTGATTCCTATGAACATCAGGGAGGGAGGTAGGAACCCAGAAAGTAAATCCTGAACAACCAGATTAGCCCTAGTCCAGGCCCCAGACCCTGTGTCAGAGCCAAGGGCCAGGGAAGGAAGGAGGGACACTCTCCATCTGCCAGATATCTGCCAAAGTCCACCCGCCCTGTGTTTCTCAGGCTTCCAGGAGCTTCCCCAGGAAGCGGAGGTTGAGGATCTTGAGCTGCTCATCAAGGTCCATGCGGACGATGCCGTCCTCACCATCGATGCTCAACAGGACCCCTGTGGCTTCCCGATCCTCACCCAGAATCACCTTCACCTGGGGGGTGGGGAGCGGGCACGGGGTCAGGGTCCGTGTCAGCAGCCCAAGGCCCCCATGTCCCCTGGCCCCCCCTTACCTTGTTGTTCTTGGTGGGGGTGATGGGCTCCAGGTGCTCGCTGGAGATGCTGACCACCTTCTCACTGTCCTTTAGGTACACAGAGCACATGCCTCCCTGTGGGTAGGGACAGCCTGGTCAGTTGGGCCTGTTTCCAGTGCAAGAAAGGCCAAAAGCTGGGCCTGATTCCTGGGAGTGTGGTGTGTGGGGCCAGGGTGACCAGATCAGCATGGGAAGCACCAGAATGAAGCTAACTTAGGCCAAAAGAGACTGCTTCTCAGGCATCTGACTCTTCATGTCCCAAATGGGTCTCATCTTTCCCCTCCTGGGCCCACCCGTATCTCAGGGATGTCCCCACAGTCCCTAGTCCCTGGACGGAGCTCTGACATCATGTTAGCTCTTTCACCGACAACCTCCAGCTCTGAGGTGTGTTCATTTGGCCTCCTAAAGGTCTCTGCCACCTCCCCCACTCCTCTCTTCCTCACAGCCTTACGGGGTAGCCTGACCTCCCCCAGGGCTCCCAGCCCCCAGTCTCACCCCCCTAATCCATCCCTGCTAGAGCAACATGGTGAATTAATTCCGAACCACAGACCTGATCCCACCACTGCTCTGCCTGCTTAGATTCCTCAGGACACAGTCCAAGGTCCCCAGCCTGCCACATGACCTGGCCCACTCACCTTCCCCCTAGGCTTTCTATGTTCCAGCCACAGTAAACATACTTCAACTCCCCAGATGTGCCAGGCTTTCCCTCACCTCCAGGCCTTTGCAAGTCCCCTCTTTCTGGAACACACTTAACCCCCTCCCCAGCCATTTCTCTTGGCTTACTCCTATTCGTTCTTCAGGTCTCGATGCAGATGCCTCCTTCTCCAGGAAGCACCCCTGAGCCCCTCCAAAGTTGAGTAAGAGTGCCTCCTCTGGGTTCCCATAGCTCCCCTTGCCCTTGGGGCTTCCTGTATCCCAGCTCTGGTCACTCAGGCTCCCCCTCTTGGGGAGACACGTCTCCTCCCCAACTAGAATGTGAGCTATATGAGGGCAGGGCCTGGAGCTGTTTTGGACTCTGGTGTTTAATTAATTAATTCAAGTAATATTTACTGGAAGGCCAACAGGATATTGGTCCCTCATCTAGGAACTAGGGCTACTTAGGAATGAAATACAGGCTCAGTAACCAAAGAATCACCCCCTGAGTAAACTTTAAGCTTTCAGGCAGCAGGTAGGTAACATGAAAAAAATTACACGGACTTATAAGACGACAGATCTGAGATAGCTCAAAAGCTTCCCTGAAGGACGAGTAGCAGTTTACTAGAAAAAGGGTGGAAGGAAGAGAGTTCTAGACAGAGAAAAGTGACGAGCAAAGGCCCTGAGGCTGCAGGGAACTCGGGGACGGTGAGGAATGGAAAGGCCGGTAATGCTGGAGCAGGGGGAACGCTAGGGGTAGGGGTGCCCAGCACTAAGCTAAAGCCAGGCACAGAGGAATGCTCAGTCCGTGTTATGGAACTGGTCTCAGAGGACTATGTTAAAGTGTAATTAGCTCCTGGGCACCAGTCACTGCTCCAGGCCGAGGAGAAACCCCTGCCCTGTGGGGCCTACAGGCCAGCCCTTCCAACCCTGCTTCCCCAGGGTACTGGAAACGTGGTTAGGTCGTTAAAAGCAAAAACCCAGTAACCACAGAGATTGGGGACCCTGAGGGAGGATACCTGCCCACCCACCAGCCTGGGCCCCACTTACTGTGACGCTGCGGATGACTCCTGTCTGCCCCACCACCTGCGTATCCAGGTAGGTGTCCCGCACCTTCACCTGGATGTCAGTGGTTACCCAGTCGCTGGAGTTCTGCTCAATGCCTGAGCCTGGCGTGTGCGGGTTGTAGCCACCAGGGGAGGGGGCTCCAGGTGTCATCGGACTGTAGCCAACAGGGCTCGGGCTGGGGCTGGCCTGTGGGTGAAAGGGGGACAGTGTTGTTGTAAATAGGTCCTCTAGCTTGGCTGTCCACATAGGCCGAAGGCCCATCCTAGCCCCCCCCCATTTTTCTTAAAGATTTATTTATTTTAGAGAGAAAAAAAAGAGCGAGAGTGAGCATGTGAGCGCAGGGAGGGGCAGAGGGAGAGGGAGAGCGAAACTATAGCAGATTTCTTGCTGAGCTTGGAACCTGACCCGGGATTCGATCTCAAGACCCTGAGATCATGACCCAAGCCAAAACCAAGAGTCAGATGCTTAACCGACTGCGCCACCCTAGCGCCCCCTAGTCCACCACCCTTAAGGGCATGCAAGCTCACCCATACCTGATAGGCCATGGGTGAGGGTGTGGGGTGGTAGCTGGCTGGAGAGTGGGTATTCTGGTAGCCTGCTGGGCTTGGCGCCACCTGGTGGTAGCTCTGGGGGCTGGGGCTGGGCTGGTAGGAGCCTTGCGGAGAGGGGGCGGCATAGGGGGAGAACTGGTCTGTGTTGTACCTGGAGAGTCAAAGACAAAAGGGAGCATTTGTTGGGGACGGTGTTGAAGAAAAGAAGGTAACAGCAGCAGACAGGGTCTGGGCAAGGTTTGCTTAGGGTCAGCCCCAGTGGACTCACATGGCTGGTGTCCCTGGCGTCTGTGGGTTATACTGAGGGTTGACCTGTGGGGATGAGGGGTCAGGATAGCCAGGTGTTTGGGGATTGGGGGTGCCCCCATAGGCCTGTGGGGACGGGGTGGGCTCGTCGTCGAAGGCATACTCGTATTCTTCCTCGGCCCTGTTGGAGAGAGAAGTCTGTTGAGAACGACTGTGGTAATCACAACAATGTAGAAAATGTTTCCAGAATAGCACTGAACACCTCACAACAGCCCCATCCAGAGGCCTCCGTTTCACAGCTGAGGATATGGGGAGGCAGAGACAAGGCTGCCTGCCCAAGGGCACACAACTGATCACGTGACCTAGAGCAGCACACAAATCTGTCTCCGAGCCCGGGTCTTAACGGCAGCAGTCTACTCTGGTGGGGACTGGAGATTATTTGACCACCAGCCCCAGCCCCACATACCCCTTCGTATGTGAGCAGCCTGGCACTGGGAGCAGAGAATTCAGGGAGAGCAGTACAGACCCCTCCATCCCGCAGACACCCAGCATAACCACTCACACACACGGGCTCAGGGAACCCTGTCCCCCACCCCTGATCCTCACCGGGATGGCGTGTTGGGATTGTTGGGGTCCCAAGCCCCACTCTGAGCAGGAGTGCGGCTGCCATCATGCAGGGGTGTCTGTGAACCGTAATGCGGGGTGCGGCTTCCTGAAATGAGAGAATAGGACAAATGTGTTTGTCTGTCAGTTCTGCCCTGTCTCCAGGCCCCGCCACGTCACCCCTCGTCCCCGTTCCCCCGGGGCATGCTCACCATCCTGGAGAGGGGTCTGAGAGCCATACATGG